CTGCTGAACAAACTGTAGGTAGTCGTGCCCACCTCATTCCGCACAAGTACATTTGCTTGCATGAAATACGCTCTTCTGCGCCTACAATATACTGTCCCCAACACATGTTTATTGACGTCCCTCACGATACTGTACATCAAGTCACGAAAATATCAGTCTCGTTATCGTGTGTGACATGCGCTGTTTACGTTGCCTGTCCGGAAGCTTTCCGTCTGTTTATTTAATTTTGTCTTTTTGAATTCATAAGCTTTACCCTCTAGTCATCGTAGTTTTAACGAGTAAAGGCTGGTCTCGTGGCCACAACTGGAAGTATCATCTTATTGGGTGAGTAGCTTCAATTTAGTCTATTAGCTCTCAAGCCTCCGTGCAACAGGTGGGTAAGAAGACCATATCTGTTACCGTTCCAACGGTCTGTTTCAGCCCAGCTTAGGGGGAGGACAATGAAACATGTGAAAACAGGTTTCCAAGACATTCAGAAGTCGCCTGTATTTTTGCGACCACCCTACACACCGGAAACGACGAATGAACGAACGGTCAGGTTATTTGACATGTAAGCAATAGACCTGTGTGCGAACATATTACCGCCTGTATAACAAACTCCAGTTAAGCCTTTTTTCCAAAGTTACGTTAGTGCTTATGTAGATGCATTTGTGCAGACATGTTTGTGTGCGCCCTCGTGAACAAAAACGGTCACTGGAAAATGTCAACCTTCGTTTATTTTGTCCGACGCTGTTCGATCCAATCAGTGGCCCTCGAAACCCTAGAGTTCGAAACTATCATGTTATCCGAGCAGTTCACATATACGATTCAAATGGCCATCACATTTTGTTAGATGTATATTTGTCTCTGTGTGGTACGAACGTGTGCGCGTGTGTTTAAAACACTACTATGAATGTTGATTTTTACACTTGCTGCGCTGTGCTGTCACCGGTTCCCCGACTCCTGTCGAATACAAGTGAAGCATGTTCGAGCACGCACACACAAACAAATGCTGTTTTTCTGATAAACATTCTAACTTGCTCTGACAACTGGCCAGACCAGTGGCTGGTCTACTTTATTGTTAGGTCGCTTTATAAATAATGTCAGTCATCATAGTAAGTATGCAATGCGTACTGTGTGAGTGTGTGTGAGTGCACACGCGTAGTGGACGTATACAGAAAACATGATCTCTGGGCACAAAAATTTACTGTATAAACAATTTGCGCTACTGCCGGTTATCTGAATCGATCCGAACAGTGATGCCATCTACAACAGTGGCATGACGAGATTGATAGCACGGATCCGTTTGAGATCGCTTGTAATACACCTCTGAAAATGGAATGGTGACTGTTCTCCTAGGTCCACCGAGCTAAAAACAACGCTCTTATAGTTCCAGGCCTTGGAAAAACCCTTTGAGTTTAGGTTCTGAAAGTGGTGTTCCGGTATGCTGTTGACTTCGTTCATCCCAGGACAGATGTGGAAAATACTGACTATCTCACATGTTGCCACGAGCAGAATTGCAAAGTTCGTTCAGTAGCCCAATAAAACCTAATACACATAGAGTTTAGCCTCCCGTTACAAAACAATTGTTGTGTAAAGTGAGTGTTTTACGCGAATTTTTTGTGAAATTTTGGTTCAATTAGAACATGAAACTGAGAGAAACCTACCTGATGAGATCCAAGAAGAGTAAAACGGCTCGTGGGCTGTCGAATGGTTTTCAGCCAACTTATGGTTAGCTTCCTCGAAGAAAAACTCTTGGGAACTTCGCTTATTATAACTGGTGTATTCACACCCCGTTAAGTAACCGGATAAAGGAAACGAGTGTGAAGAATTCTCATCTACGGTTTTTGAAATCTCAGTAAGAAAGGTAGGAAAATAGTGATTAACTTGGTGGAGAGTATTCACATGGAGACTGGTGGTGATCAAAATAAAAACACTGAGGCTTTCTAGGTAACTCGTAATTTGGAAGGAAGTGAGGTCGACCTATCTTGCTCGCAGCCTTTCGTGCCATGTTGCCCTTGCGTGAGGCACATGGTTGCAACATGTAGACTAGTACGGGCAAATCCTAGTTAGTTATGAACATTTAGGGATCTTACTAAAGCATATTGAGTCGCTCACCTCTTTCGGGTCAACTATCCGAGCAATACACATATCTGAATGCGACTTGCATTAGAGTTCAACACGTAGTACACCCCAACCAAAACGGAGCATGAATATTGACCCGGTGTCATGTGAGGTCAGCTGAGTTGGTCACTGCTGCAAACCTGGTGCACATAGGAAGTACACCGTCTAGACATGTTATCTGAACTGGTGAAAATTAGTAAACAAGTTAGTTATAGTCCCCGAATGCCAGTTGGCTCATCTATCACAATGAGGGCGCTTTCATTTACGATAGTTCAGTCGGAAAAGGTGAGATCTTAGGACCATAAGAGCCTATTCGTTCCTCCTGAAGTTTGCAACACCTAATGGAGTTTCGGCAACTTTTTGTAAAAATTCAGACACCTCATGACTTCTGATGTGCGGCCTTCATAAACAAAAAGTTTGAAAGTGTTTTTCCAAAACACTGACCTTCTTAAGTGAGAATTTTCAGAGAAACATTCCTAGGAGGGTCCTTAAAAATGATTTGTGTCAGTTTCCGACAGGTTACCCTCCCGAGATGTTAGAGATTTCATCTATTCTTTCCTCAGACTGTTTGGTCGACTGCTCAGCCAACTGTTTAGTCCATATATAGTCCAGACGCAGATCCTTCTCAAACGTTAAAAACGCGCACAGCCTTCACGATGTTCCAAACATAGCCTTAAACTGTGCAAAGAACAGCAGCCACTGTTCTCGGCGCTCGTAGTGCGACTTCTGCAGACTGGTCAACCGGAACAGTGGTCCGGTGAACGAACGAGTTTGGTTTACTGCCCTCAGGGGTTTCGTCTGTCATTTCGTTTCCCAGTCAGCAGACGCCGATTCTTTGTTTTTCCCTGTAAACCTGCCACCTCATGGAGGTTGGAATAAATAGACCAGGCAGGGTCAGTCATTTTAACGGTATGTCATCCGATCTAATTATAATTCTGTTCTTTGTGCACGCCACAGCAAACCTGGTGGGTGCGCGCGCTGGTTTTAAACAAAGATGACGCAATTGCCCACAGTCCGCAGTCTGACAGTCACATACTTCATCCATCCACTACGCCAACTGGTTTTTCATCGGGATACCATGCTCGGCCATGCGTGCTTGTATGTTCGCAGCCACACAAAGAACGGTCGAAAAGACAAAAAGATAATCCCGGCTGGGACGTCTTGTTTGAGAGGGGTGGGCGAAAGTTCACGTGTTCAGCGACGAGGGCGATGCAATGACATCGTCTGACCAGGAGGAAGTTTGCTTCTCACGGACCATCTGTCACGTGTTCGAAATGGAGGGCCTGATGCATTGGGTTATAACCAGGGGACAAATATGTTAGACCATTCACTGTCCAATTCTGACCATATACTTGTAAAGTTGTGGTAAATTGGCTGCCGAGAGATCCAGGTAACTCCCAGAAATCTCAGTCTTCTTGGCATTGATGTTTTCATGTCCTGTGGTAACTGCGCCCAGACCGGAAAAGATCCGGATATAACTGTTCATGCGCATGGTGTGAATGATACCTTTCTTTTGGTTTCACACAGCACCACCAGGTGAACTAAAGAGGGGTGGATTTTATGAGCCCCAGCACAGTTAATCTCTAGGTGGCCTTGTGTACCTGTATGAAAAGTATTTACAGGCGCATAGTGTGTACAAGAATTTGTAGACACATGCACACTTGGCAACTCCGTATATATCGCTCGAATGTCCTGAAACTTCCGGCGTAGATAGATGCTGTTTATTCTTGTTTATGGTTGTAAAATGAGACAGAGAACTCGACGAAAAATACTAGTTTAGTCCGAGACCTTAACCGCTAGTTGTGTCATTTTGTGTAAGTAGGAAGTCGGTTGTGTCTCACGTCGACCGTCTGCGTTAACTACAAGTTATCGACAAGTTACAATCTCTGTGTATCACCTTTGCTCAAATTTGGAGTGTTTTTTTTTCCAAAAAAAAAAACTGAAAAATCGAAGGCTCTTAGAGTTTTTGACTGCGTTTTGGTTTATCTGGTGAGATATTTATCACCGCTAAACTCCGTTTACTTCGTCCAGAACTGATCTATCGGCATTCAGTATTCGCCCAATGAAATTTACGTTTCTAAAGCCACGACGTATCCCCTGGTGGACCAAAACAGACAGGCAATCGAGTTGAGAATACCAGTCCAAACTTTTGACCCCCACTTAGGCTAGGAAATTATTCCACCAGAATTTTTTGCCAGACTGTGGTTGATTCAGTGAACAATGAAATTTGTTGAGTTGCGAAAATGTGAACGTAGATTAGGGTATTTTTAGTTCGCTCACTTACGCAACAAAATGCACCATTTTGGCGTAAAAAGTTTTATTCGACTCGCAAACGTTTTGCAGCTTAAAGCGTCGTGCAACCAAGGAGCCCCGATATAATCCCAAAGTCTGGAGGAACAATAGTCCGATCAGAGCATCACGTATCTATGAGCTGTGCTTTCAGAAAAATACACCCTTGGTACGCCTACTGAATGCTTGGAAACTACGAGATCTAGCCCATCAGATGCCATTGGGTTCAAATAAGAGTTCCGTTTTGCATAATTTTGACTTTCGGTCCCGGTAGCTCGAAGCAAAGCGAAACTAGTTGTGGGCTCCCGAAGAGCTTTCAGCAACCTTATGTTTAGTGTGTTACTTCCGTACACTGCATTGCGATGTCTCGGATGTCTTACCAGCTGAAACTGAGGTGGCCTCGTGCAACACACTCAGTTGGAGATTATAATAAGCAAGAGATGTAGCTGCGATTGAGATGGGTTTCCAGTGAAAAATCAAATTGACATGTGAATCAGTGTAACCATCAAATATGAACGATGCCTTAAACCACATTTCCCAAATTCCAAATATTTTTGAACGTTGAAGCACTACAAAGCGCTTGTCATTGTCCCTTAATTTCATTCCAGTTTACAAAGATGCGATGATATTTCTGGATTCCCTAACCTGAGCTCGCCTTCTCTCAGTTTCTGGCCTCCAGCTACTTCTGCGCTCGCACCGAAAAGTATGGTTGGTCCACTCAAAGTATGTACGGATCTCCACCTACATGATACAATGACCAATTCTAGCACGCCATTGAGGACCATTCGAGATACAGATATGTTCAAGCCCACCGCTACCCATGTGAGCAATCAGCCGCAGTTGTTCAACTCTTACGGAGGCATTGATACCAGACATGCGGTTGGTGGTGATAGTCACCTCCAGGGCTGTTCATCCTCTTCAATGGACGAAGAAGTTGCGGTCCAGTTAGAATCCCTCCAACAGTCACGGGAAGTTGCAGACGAACTACGAGTACTGGCGGGTTTGTCTGCGCTCCAGGATGGTCAAGAGGGATGTGCATTATCGAACGACGTATCGCGGATCCAGCAAGCGGGGGTGATGCTTGGCGATGGAGGAAAATTATCCGGCCCTACTCAGATAGACCTGGCAGAGAAAACTGTGAACCAGGCATCCAAAGAGACGAGGTTGTCCATAGAGGATGTCCAACTTGATTCTAATCAACTGTCAGATTGGCAGAAAAGCGTACAATCCCAATCTACGATAGACAATGGCCCGATGAATGAGTCAGATGGAACATTCCATACGCCTAAATCAGAGTCACCAGACTTCAGGCCAGTCAGATCACAATCGGCAATCACACCATCAGAGAGAGGTGAGTGGGGTAACTGGGTAAAACTTTGCCGCATTCAGTGGGTGCAACAGTTCAAAATCGACATCTGATCAATGTGATCGATGTTCCATGTTTCCTCGAAACATGACAGATTGAGGGATCTTCCAAAATTTCGGGAACCCCGAAATCAACTTCTCTGTTCTCAAATTATTATGACCATGTTTGTCAAACGAACGTCAACCTGCTGCTGAGCGTTGGCCCTACGCCCTTTTAATTTTATTCCAATGTAAAGGATAGAATTTTGATGTTTCTGCAAACACGCTGATCTTAGGACCAACGTTATTTCCAATGTCTTCTCTGAAATATCGACGCAGATTCATTATGGCTGCCTAATAAGATTGTCACATTCACGTCACTCTCCAGTTTATCTCCTGCCCTGGCAAAGTTTTCTGTTGAGTCCATATCAAACAGAAGAAACAGTGGACTTGAGTCTCACCATGCTTGGACCTCATTAGTTCCTCAGGCAGTCCCGAGAGGCGAGCAAGAAACAAGGCATTACTGAGCCGTCTTTCGAGCTGTCGAACCAATCAATTACATTGCTCAGGTGTGCACAAGTTTTCATTTTCAAACCTGACAACTCAGTCACGTACAGCATTCGTTGTTGGAATAGTGACAACGCTCACAGAATTTGAACAGCAACACCACTAACGATATGCACTGCTGAGGAGCCCTCGTAAGAGTGGAACTCCAGATCAGTCCTTTCCCCTTTATTGAGGACTCAATGAAATGGTTACACAGGCCAGCAGAACTTTTCAAACGGGAAGGATATAGATGTGGATACTACGAATACTATCTCTTGTTTTCACTACAATCCTAACAAAAGATCTTTCTGTCACTCCGATGTCAAAGAAATCGATTTTATAGAATCCAGTGCTACTCTCGGTGAGATGTTAACTTTACCCCAATGCCACCGAACTGAATAACGCAAGTAAACTACTTTCTCCGTTTTATTCGACAGATAATCCCGTCAGCCTGACATGCAGTGATCCGCATTCATCTACTGAGGACTCAGACGAGGGAATGAGTATGGCTCGGTTTGAACAAATGACCAATTCCGTGCAACCCGATCAAACTGGGCTGTATTTTTGTCATTTGTGTGAATTCGCTGGTGAGTTACTCGATGCTCTCGCTACCTGTGATTTTCATGGTCGGTAGCCGGTACCTCCGGGCTGTATTGGCGATTGAGTTTACAAATTTCAACACCATTCTGTGTGTAGTAAACCTCGGTTCATGCCTGCTCCGCAAACTCTCACAGGTGATTTCGCAATCTATGTTGTTGTCTCGGTGACCGAATGAGTAACTAAATCGCCCCCCTCACCAAATCAGGAATTGAGTGGTTGCTGCTCATGGCAACATGCTCGTGAGAACATAACTTTCTTCTGTAAGCATATGATCTTTGATTATCGCTTGTGGGCTTGGTACCAGCTGAATTAATATAAGAATTCCGGGGAAGAGTATGTTCCATGTTTGGAAACTTTTGGCCTATCAACAGTCTTCCTGAAACTGATCAGCCCAATGGAATGCAACTCGTGAAAGTAAACAGCTTTTTTTTACAGAATTAAAGTGGATGTTTTCAGGGGAACTCTCATGGAAGCTACTTTCCAACAAAAGCCATGTGGTAGGGATGCCTTCACGAAGAATAGCCCAGCAGACGGTAAAACGATACCGTTATTGCCAGGTCCATCTTGCAGGAAGTAGTGCAACCAAAAGTTTTCGCAGAGGAAAGCTGGATTCGGACAAATCATGGATCGGCAGTTTTGCCGTCAATGTGTGTCGTGACACGGTCAGGAACGCCAGCAGAATTTTAACAAATACACCACAATTCCATGTCCTAGTGGGATTCATGATCCGAAAACAAACACGGTGCATATTCGGAATATAGGACCCAACGAAGGGAAATGTCAAACAACGAACTAATCAGTATTGATTACCACGCGGGTAGGAATTTCGTCGTATTTTAACCAACTTTTTGTTTGACAACCATTGTTTGACAACCGTTGCAGAATGATTTAATTGTCCAAAATTCCTGTAGGAACTGCAGAGAAAGTTACAGTTGAATGTATGTATTTGTCAACCGACGTTGAGGTTTTCTACTGTGGCTGCTTAGCCAGTCATAATTACTCACGGGATTGAAAGGAACCGCCCACGCAGTTACTCACTGGAAAGTCCTTCCTGTGAAGAAATATTAAGTTCTCAAAGATTGATGAAACTGGGCTTGGATTCTGAGCAAAACACAGTTAGGACAATACCGTAAACAGTCTCGGCTCATTCGTTCACTTCTTTGCTGTTCCAAGCTAAAGAGTGTGACAAACTGAAAAATTAGTCTTGACGTAACTGGTGGAAATTATTGGTCTGGACACCAGACAGAACAGAATCCCTCGTTTTTTAGAGTTTCCAACTAAATGTGCTTCACAAAACCTACCTCGTGTTTCAACTGACACGATATGTGGGATACTACAGTCTGCTTCCTCGATATAACATACTACTTATATGGTTACTGAAAAATCTTTGACAGCCCCATATCGGTCCCACCCTTCTTGAGGTCAACCACATATTTGCAGTCTTCAAGTTTATGTCACCTTTACTTTCTACTTGAAAGTAAGTTTGAGCACAAGTGCCGAATTACATACAAGCGGATAATATTTTAAATCAGTGGTGCATCTAGGTTTCTTAAACTCACAAGCTTTGCAACTTAGATATCCATATTCTGATATTCTATACTGGAACATTCTCGCAAAAGAAACTGCATTAGTTTGTGTTAATTTTTGGCTACCAACACGATCGTCTGTTTTGGCTCACAGTAGTCAATAATCAATAGGAAAACCTTACACACACAATATATCTGTATCCCTTCTGGTGAAGACCAGGAGACAAGCTCTCGGAAGAGACCACTTTCGGCCTGGCGTTGCACCTTGTTACGCCGCAGGGGGAAATTGTACGGCCAAAGATTCAAGTCATATGAGCCAGAACCATTCAATTGGGTGAGAAAAAATGGCTGCTATGGTCTCTGCTTTTGTTACTCGAGAATGACCGTTGCTGGCATAATCAGTGGCGGATATGGGTGGCTCTAGCTCCCTTGAACAGAACGTCAGCATTCAATGAGTGTTTATTTGAATAATTTTCCAGAGCAGACCGTTTACTACTGCTATTTCCCCACAAATATTGGTTTGAATCAAAGCACCAGTATCGTTTACTTGAGGTTTCCGATAGGATAGTGTATGAGAAAGAGAAATGAGGGTGTCAGAGGGAGTGCCGACCAAATCAGAGAAAGGCCTTTCCCAGTCTACATCGGATCAAGTATTGAGGGTTCGTTTTGGATGACATTCTGGGGAATCACCACCCGATTGCTGCAGAACCTCTTGCAGAATTTGCTTTCTGCTTGAAAAGAGCTAGCCGGCACGACCTTACCCAAGAACATCTTATTACCTATAGGCCGGAACATTTGGAAATCGAGATATTGTCGTAACAGCCAGCTGGCAAGCATTAAATCCTCTCTCAATTACCTCCTTTCCATGAAGTACCATGCTCACACGCAGCACTCTAAATGAAGTCGTACGGATGCTGCAATAAACCCGCTGAGCCAAAGTTGATCAAAGCCGTTGTAAGCTTAAAAGACGGTCTAAAGTTAGGCAGTCCTGCTCTTCTATCTCCATGTTCCGAAGTACGACAGACCTCGAATGTCTAGCCTCTGAAGCTGCTACAAGCTACGGTGACTTACTGGCTATGTTAACTTGCGCGCGTTCTCATTGAGCGAGAGGTTCCAGCCCCGTTAGTTATTTCATGGTGACCGTCTTGTAGCTCCTCTCAGGTGTTTCGGATGCCCATAGGTCTCATATCATCTGCAGAGAAAGGATTCACCTCTTGGGGGGTCGAGTAGGTTGTTGACGTGTAACAAAAACGACAGGGGTCACAATATTGAGTCGTACACTACCCTACGGCTTGCAGCAGCCGTGGGTGATAAAACATCCACGTACGAAAATTAGAAGCTTCGTTGGCCTTACAAATCCTCCATCCACACAACGATATGATCACTCACGCCCACTTAATTTGGTTTTACAACCAGGAACGACAGAAGTAGATGCCATTTCAACACTCATTCGCTTGATAGTTCTTGTCATGTTTCCTAATGACCGAGACCAGATACCAAGAGAGAATACAAGTTGCCGGCCTTAGATTAGCCTGTTTTCCTTTACGTTCAGGCAGATTGGAAACCGGAGACTCTTTTCAATCAGCTTGTATGAAAATTTTTTGGATCATGCCCAAAACCTACACCTCCTATTGGTGAATATGACCGCTGCTCACCTATTTTCGCTGAACATCCATCTTTTGAAAAGGGATGGTTGCAAATTCTGAAAGGGTTTGTTTAGCCATGTGGGAGATATTCGCCGCCCATAGCCTTAGCTGAGTTCACCTTCACTGGCACTCATTGATCCTAAAGTACGTTGCCCAGCTAGCTAATATGGAAATGAGTCTCCATGATCCATTCGAATCGGGGGAGTCACGGACATTTGTGATTCTGTTCCTGTGTGATCCTTGCCAAAATTCAGGGATCCTAAAACCCTTTTAGTGTATCCTCTGTTTGTATATACATACCGTAATATTTATAGGTTAGGGGTTTCCTCGCCTGATGACTTACATGTAACGAACAATTTTTGTTTGTTGTGACTAACCTTTTACGAGAACGCTTGTAACTAGACAGTTATTTCAGAGATCGTCCACGCACGTTGTCTGTGCTTCAGGACTGACAGAACTTCCAACGGAATCCTTTCCTATCGGAGACTACAGACGCTATCTGGTGTGCGATGTTTGTAATAGTACGTTAGACCTTCGTGTGGTGAGCTAAGGTCAGCCTTACTTATCACTCAGTCTGGATGAAAGCATAACTCTTCTCCAGTAACGAGTGAAGACTTTATTATTTTCATAGTGTAGCAGTATTGAATGAAACAAAAATGGTGTGTTGTCTCCAAATCATGACCTAAATCTTAACATGTTTACATAGTTTTTGATTTTTGGCTGGGACCAGTAATGTTCATGTGGTTGAAGTGGGTTGGGACCAAGTGACTGATAAATCACCTTCGCAACTCTTTATGCGAACTTATTCCTCAATGATCTCGGCTCCGGAAATACGTGGAGTTGAAGGGTCATTTCAGATATTCCGTCCACTAGTAGTCATTGACCCAAACACCGCCGGGACGGTTCGAACTGTCCACAAACCTGAAGCAGAGTGAAATTCACCTAGAATGCTGTGACCATCCATTGATGTGTACCGCAGCCGGCGCTACATCACGCTCATCTACGACCGGCAAACAATATGTTGAGTGTTACGGCACAGTTTCCAAACAAAACATGTCTCTAGCTGCCCTGCTAAGGTCGACAAGTCACCTGAACGATGTTTTTTGAATACCGCGTCACTTCCGTATCGGAAAAACAACAAAGTTTTCGGGATCAGGTCAAAAGTGTTAAAGTTCGTTATTGCTGCTGTGAGCATCGGAACCATACTGTATGCACTCATGCTGCTGTCAGTCTCCACACCAGCTAACAGAGCAAAATGCCTTAAGGGAGTTAGGATATTTCTGGAGGGCCACTCATCATTACTCGAACACTTTCCCACATGGTTGACTGTTGATCCAAGACTGCCGGTCAAATATCGCATTAAATGACTGTTGCAAACAATGTCGCTGCACTAATCCGAGATACGGGGAGATCTTCTTCCAGATTGAAGCTCTTATGTGGCAGATGTAGCAAGTTCCTCGCTTCCTCTTGACAACATGTACTGACTAGAACCAAGTGATTGCAGCTCGGTGAACTCAGGTTAGCGTCACACCACTACGAAGATAAGGAGCGAGGTCGATTGGACTACTCTGTCCATTCGACTGCGTGACAACGGTCTGAGTCAAATAATCATGAATCAGCACAAAAGAGTGCAGGTGTGTGTCTCCACCCCGTAGCCTGAGCGTGAACAGGCGTGTGTGCGTGTGTGCGTGGCCTGTCCAGGCTAGATGTACGAGTAACGGTGAGAACGTGCGGACGAGCGATCGGGGTGCGCGCAATACGTTTGTCCAGGAAAGTAGGAAGCAATCTTCTGGCGATTCCTACAAATCGACAATA